GTGAATGATGTCACTGTGAACATGCCTTTTCTCTGCCCTGACATGTGACTCTGTATTGAGTGAGCTGACCGAGGTCGACACCTAACCTCTCAGGACGGGAATCTAGATATTGGTTATCATCAAAACAGGTTTTTTAACTTTTATAACGGTGGTAAAATACAAACGGTTGTGAGACCTGTTTCGATACCGTGGCAACAAGAACTGCAGCCAAACTTCTGCACGGTCTAAACTGCTCAAAAACAAACATTGACGATCTCTTTGTGTGATTAAGACTGTTCTCTTTTCCGCTCGAGGCAGCTCTGGTTTAACAAAGACTTAAGATCTGACTGTTTACTAAAGCTTCAGTTCTTTTCCATACGATCAATGTTCCTTCTTCCTTTGAATGAGAAGTCTTAACTTTAATAATCGTTGATCTTCAGTTGGGTTGTTACAACTTCCTCTAAGGTTAATCATCAGCCCAAATCCATAAAACATAGCTGCACGTAGTCATCTCTTAGTTTCTTGCGAAAGAGGTTTTAAATTCCTAGCGTATGTTTTGAATACGTTTTTGGTATCTGGAGCTTCTCAGCAAGGCGACGTCTTACATGCACCATGTTCGTAGTGCTGTTAGCACCGTTCAGCACTCTCTTGTTTTGTTGTTGTCACTGTTTTAGTTGTTTTGCTGTTTCCTCACCTTGATCTTACACTCCTACTTAAGAAAAGCCAAAATCACAACCTCAAAATCTGCACTCGCTTCAGCCGAGTCTGTACGTGTCTCTTCATCAGAAAAAGAAGCCAAATGCAGATAGCTCCCTCTGCTGGTTGAAAAGGAGGATTGCAACATATTTAGTGTCTCAACGATTTGAATTGTCCTTATTGTATCTTTAATTGTGCGGTATCAATAGATCCATTGTACAAAATAAGAACTATACAGATATGTGCATCCAACAAAGATAAATGCTGAGAAATGGGTTGCAATGTGAGTTAAATATAAACACTAGAATAAGACGATATTAACGAAAAGTATTGTTGGATTAACCCACAGAGTATTGCACAGTTAGTTAACTGCAGATTCAGTGTTGAAATAGATTATTTAAGGTGAGACACATGGAACATGAGATACTGGATGTTATTTGCACAAACCCATCTGTTATGCTATAAAAAATCATTTTCCAGCATTAGCTGCTGCACATGTGGTCAGTTCATGAGGGGGAGTGCACAGATGGTTAATGATTAGACAGAAATGTTCCATGTTTGTAAAGCAAACATGCCCGTATGCTGCTGTTCACTGATAACGTCTCCAGACTCAGTTGGAAAAATGAGAGGAGGATGTTTCAGTAACAGTAACTGGACTCATTCTAAATATGTTCTTCAGTGAGGTGGTCTAAACAGTCCGTCTGAAGAGGTGTGCAGCTTAGCACTGGTCAAAGCAGCCGCACAAAAAAAGAATGAGCGCTCCGGAAAAGACTGCCTGCTGCTGCAAACGCTCTCTACTCACTGAAAACAACTGAAATAAAGACGCTAGGCGACTACGCTAAGACCAAGATGTGCGAGTAAACTCATGAAAAGCACGTCTCCCAAAGATGGAGTTAAGTTTGAGGAATTGTTTACATCGTGTTTCCATGTTTCAGGAGGTTGAAGCTTTAGGAGTCAGTCGGGTAATAAAAAGTCATTTCATGTCGTGTGTAGCCTTCCAGATGGATTTTTTGTCACCTTTTCAACACTGCTGCTGTGGTCGTACAGTACATCAGATCTTACCATTAGCCTTGCTGTAAAATGATCTTTCTTGAAGAGGTAGGATAGATCGAATCCTCTCCATGCTCTTTGTCAGGGATCCCAAACTCAATTTCCTGAAGGGCACTGGTCAGGTTGTTCTTTTCTTCAGGGACCACTTGAACCCTCCTCTGCTTGTTTGTTGTTTTAATATATTTCAGTAATACTCTTAAGGCTGAGCATCAATATATCTACATTCTGAAAAGGTTTCCCCGTCCTGGCTGTAAGTTCACCTAGCTCTGCATGTTTCTGGTCCAGGTCATATCTCTGTCCTCTATCCTCTCTGGAGAATATGATTTACAGTCCGTTCTCATTAGTTCTCCTCTGTGGATCCTAACAACTGTCTGCCTGCGTTGATAGTCTGGTCAGCGGCGGCGGTCCCTCTGCCTCTCGAGCACTCTGTCCATTAGCCAAAATCCTCGCTATTTCATTATGTGAGTGGACGGGTTCCAGCCTTTCCAGCCACGACTCCACTAAACCACAGGCCTCCTGTCCGTCTCAAGAGGACTCAATCAGGCTCTCTGCCTGGGCTTAAAATATTTATCACTCATAATTGAATACACTGTTGGCAAGATTGAAACGTACACCCCTATCAGCTTACATGTAGCATAGAAATGCTGTTTTTTTTGGGTGGGTAGGGGTGCGGGCTGTATGTGAAGCCTGTCTGACTGTACCGTGACTCTGTAGTTGAAAGTAGGCTATTGACTGAGCTGGTGTCAGGTTTCCCTGCTGCTGCTGCCATTCCAGCCTCAGACACCCAGGGCCTCGCATTGATTTTACAAACCACAGCTCCAGGACCACTTCAAGGCTTTCAAGACCCTAATGACATAATGGATGTGTTGGCCAAGGCTTGTGACATTACAGGTTTATAATGTCGGCCATGCCTTTGATCGGTCTGGGAATATTCAGTGTAATGCTGCGAGACATTTTGAGCTCCAGGAATAGACGGGACTGCTGTTCACTGTGATCGGTAAAAGACCGGCAGACGCAGATAAGTAAGGATGACAGCATTACTTTGTCCCTGAGTGGATAAGTCACGAGTCTGATATTACATTATCTCCTCTGACAGCGCTGTGGATGTGATGTGAGTCATGTCTAATGTTTGTGTTTCACCGTGAGCTCGTGTTGTGGTAGTAGTAATATAAGGTGTTGTTTGTATGTTTGTAAACAGTCGACTTGAAAACACAGTGATCTCAGCATGACTCATCCTGCTGTGGTCATCGATATCAAAACTTCTGACACAAGATGATGTTTTCATTCAGATTGACTCTAAAAAAAAAAAAAAAGTTTTAGCAAAACTGGATCCAACTGCTCAATCCTAATACAAACCATCGATCAGGGGTGTGACCCTGACGAGGGATGTGCATTTTTAGGATGTCATCGATACTGAAATCAATACTGATACAGCCGTCATTTATCAATAATCTTCCTGATGCTATTTAGTGCAACTACAAAAAAACATTACATAAAAGATAAAAAGATCTCATGAGAGATTTCTGATTACTGCTTTAACACCTGAATGAAATGCTTTCCAGAGAGTTAAATCTCAAACCTCACATAAAAGAAAAACACATGAAATACATTCATGTTTACATTTCAAGGAAAAGTCTCTAGTCCGTCTATAAACCCCCCAATGATGAGAAAAGTCCATCCTCTCTGTCTTTTGCCTTGTGCTCAAACAGGCCGTTTGGAGATTTTCCCTTCATGACATCACAAAGGGCAGTAGCCCCTCCCCCAGGTGGGTGACACTCCCACAGCTAGGTGTTTGTTCTGCCCTCTGAGTCTGCCTTCTCATCGTAAACAATAGAACATGGAGAGAGAAAGCACCGAGTACACCCAAGACCTTCCAGAGAGGGGGCGTGGTCAAACACAGCTCATTTACATATTTAAAGGTACAGACACAGAAACAGCCTGTTCTGAGCAGGGCTGAAATAGAGGGGTTTATAGACATGATCAAATACAGGATCAGAATGGATTTAGAACAAGAAACTTCACACACACGTTTTGAGGAGCTCTGAGACTTATTTAAACTGAAGAGAATGACATTATGTGACCTTTAATTTAATTTAATTTTAAGAATACAATCACATTCCTGATCAATACCTGGAGTGCACCGCTGTGTGACTAACCACCTGGAGAGTGCATGATGATCTAAGTGCACTATTGATCCTTGTCATGTGAGGTCATAGGGTGTCACTCAGTTGGAGGATCTGTTTCTTTTTCATTAGTGGTCCAATAGAGTACATTAGGTGCTGCAGGACTGATTCATGATTTATTTAGTTGGCTAACAAACAGCCTTTCAGTTACTCTAAATCTGAAATTGAGTTTAAGGGTCAATTTAAGAGTGAAATTAACACAAACATGTTTTCATCACGCTCTCCAGGTCTGTGCATGAGGAACTAGGGCCTGACCGATATGGTATTTTTGTGTCCGATACCATTATCGATGTTTGGGAGAGAAAATATATCTAGTTAATAGATTGATCCCTAAGATGCAGTTGTCAAGCACTTGTGGAAAAGATAAATAATGAAGACAAGATGGTCGCTCAACTAGAAAGTAACTGAGCATCACTTTAATCAAACGCTGAAGCACTGTGCAGCGAAACAAGCTCTCATTCTTAATACATCACTGTTTCTCATCTGCCCAGAGTAAAGACGAGTCAGCCCTTTGAAGGTTCACTTAAGAAATTGTCTCTGAAGTAATCAAAAAGGAGGGGAAGTGTGCCATGGTTCTTTTAGCAGATTGAACTGGAGGAAAGCCAGCGGCTGTTTGTTTACATCGTATATAGACGTCACTGTATTCGTTCCCTTTATTACTAATGTGCTGACAAAGGAGAGAAGGGTGTCTTCTCTGTGATGCATTCAAGAAAATGGTGATTACAACTCGAGCCGAGGACGATTTAGTCCGTCGCTTGCTCTTAATGGTGCTTAATTATGGTGCGATCTACTTGATAACTCCTTCATGATAACGTGAGTGTAGAGGGGTTGGAGGTGTGTCTCTGGAGGAGAGCGGAGGCTTCAGGATGGAGGGGGTGTGGCCAAACAGGGCGACATCTACTGGATCAAAAAGTCGTACATTCTTCTTTTAAAAGTGACTTTCGTTTCAGCCAATCACATCTCAGAAGTCGGTTTAGTGGTATTAAAGGAAACTGAGATGTTCATAAAGTACGTAGTTTGATACTGTGGTAACTTGAAACTAATCTTATGTGACATAAAAGTTTGAATTCTGTTTTAAAATCTGATTTCCTCTGTGCAGCGCTCTGACAGGATGTCATCACAGGGGGGTAACGAGCCCCCTCCAAACGGAGGTCAACCAGATAGCCGTCTAAAGAGCAAGAAGCCGCCGAGCCTTGTGATAGCGATCCCTCCGCCTGAGGAGACCATGACCCACGACCCGGCGAAACAGGTACCTGCTGTTTTCACTCTGACCTTTTGTTTTACTCACAGACTGAAATATGGACGTAGACTCAAACGGGGGACGGTGGACACTGGAGGAACTGCAGTTGTTTTGCTCCGGCTTCATTTTGTTAACACCAGAAGTTACTGCGTGACCTTCTGGGGCGGATTGTCACTTAACAGATTGTGATCCAAATGACTAACCACTTCCTGTTACAGTGCTGGTGTTGAGCTCTTTCCAGTGTGCCCTGAATTAATGACACGTTCTGAAAAGTTCCCTGAGGCTGAAACATCTATTTAAAAATATT